CCTGGGCAGTGCTGCCATCCCCTGCCAGGCTGGCAGGCATTGCCTGCCATGTCCTGCTGCTGGGGAAGCATTCCTGCTTTTTATAGCCCTGCTGAGGCTCCCTAGCTGCCAGCCCCGTGCCAGTCTGCCTGCCCTCCTGCCTGCCTGCTGCCTGCACTGCCTTCCTGCCCTCCTGCCTGCTGCCTGCCTGCCCGGGCATGGTCGGGGAATGGGCGGAGGGGGCCGGGGGCTGCAGGGCCCGTCCGACCTGCACAGCTGCATAGCTTGTCTCCAGCTATTAAACAAACTCCTCCATCTCCCCCCTCCTCCCGGTCCCCTTCCCGCCGCCAGACGCTGCTTAACCCTCTGCTGCCCCGCTCCTCGTCCTGCAGCAGCGGGAAGCGGCGTCTGCCCCTCGCAACCCTCAGCATGTTTGACTCCCAGAAGCGACCTCATCGCACTGCCGGTACCCCCGACCCAGCTGGGCAGGGGGAGTGGCCATCCTGGTCTCCAGGGGTGCCCGCAGCCTGGCACCATCGTGGGTACCCACCCTGCGGGCAGGGCAGGAGAGCTGGCAGCTGGGGCTGGGAAGGGCAGGGGTACGCAGGATCTGGGGGATGCAGGGTCAGGGGAATTTAGGCAGGGCGTTGCAGGGACTGGTGGATGCAGGATGGGCAGAGAGAGGAGCTGCAGTGCAGGGCAGATGGGGTGCACTGGCTGGAGAAAAGGCAGAGGGGTGAGGTGTGAGGGGCTGAACCTCTCCTGACCCATCCCAGCCCTCTTCCTTTTCCACTCCGCAGTAGCAAGCGATGCTGGGGGTGTCCCAGCTCCCGGGAGAGCTCCAGCTGCAGATTTCCTCTGCAGTCGTGGGCCAGTAAAGGAGATAGGAGGGCACAGGGGCTCTGGGGTTCTCCCCAGAGTGGCTGCTGAGATCCGCACACCTCGGTTTGCAGTGCCACAGATTCCGCTTCCAGCCCGGCTTGGCCTGGCAATGCCAGGAGAACAGCTTCCATCCCCCCAGTCCACACCAGCTGCCTGTTTCCCCCCCTCCCACCCCTCAGCTTCGCACGGAAACCTGAGCAGCTCCCAGCTCAGGAACCGCTGCAGGGGATGGGGTGCGAGGGAGGAGCAGGATTTGCCCCTGCAGCCTGAGCTGAGCCCTCCGGAAGGGTTGACGTGGTGATGCCACGCTCTGCTGCCACCATCCTGGGACACTGTGGAGAGGACAGAGACTGCCCGGCCCTTCCAGGACCTCCCTGATTGCCCTCTGCCTCCCACGCTCCCTCCCCCAGATGTTTGGGATATCTGGTCCTTTCCCGCTCCAGCCTAGTGACAAATGCTTGCCTGAGCGGGGTTTATTATTGTAAGAGCCTGGAGTTGCCTCTGGCCAACTTTCTGCCTGGGGCTAAGCCAGCAGCTGCAGGGCACCCTTCGGCACAGCCACCCCAGGGACCAGTTGTCCCCGCCCCGGGCACCCTCTGCGTGCCAAGGGGTTGGGGACCGACCCCCTGACATTGCCCAGCATCCCGTGGGTGTGAGGGGGCCCAGGGTAACCCCCC